AGGGTCAGGGACCGGTCCCAGCTCCTGCGGCATTCACAGCCCCCCGGGAGACCCAGGCTGTGGAACTCCTGCCGGGTAAGAGCTGGTTCTGAGCTCCTCAGGAAATCAGGGACATAGCACAGGCTCCTGCAGGAAAGGTCCGGGTAGTGAATGAACCCCCAAGGACCTCCTCACATGCTGACTCGAGGTGAAGAAATCTCTCATGAAGGAGCACATGTGATACAGGAGTTGCAGTGACAAAACCTCTGAGCCTGCACAAGAACTCATTCACAGCCCAAGGAACTGCTTTGCATTCATTCAGGCCTGTGAATGATTTCCACAGTGTAAATGCAACTTTCCTGGATGCTCAACATCCTGGGGTTAGATGCTAGTGGTGTTCAGGCAGATTAATTTCTTTTCCTGTCTCAGCAATCAGAATGCCATTCACTGAGCCACTTAGCTGCAGGGCTGTTTCCAAAACAGCATCACCAACAGCACCGACACTGCTTTACCCCTTCCCTTCTCAAACCAGACAGGTCTTCATCACAAGCACTGGGGATAAACCCCCTGTCCTCAAGCTGTACCATGCATGTAAGGCCCTGAGACAGCACACAGCAAATTCAGGGCCACAACATGCCAAGATGAACCTCTAAAATGTCATCTTTCACTGTCAAAGTCACAGAATCACCAAGGTTGGAAGAGATCTGTAAGATCATTAAGTCCAACTGTCATAAGACAGAGGATCCAAGATGCATGGCCAGAAAGAACTTAATTCAATGTCTGACAAAATGTTAAGTATATGGTGCACAGAATGAAGATATTAATTCAAAGCCATGAACACATCTGAGGAATGCTGAAGACCTGTGGAAGACACAGCAGGCTGTCAGATGGGTGTTGTCAGGATGTCACTGCTCCTTGTAAGGTTCGTTGAAACATTCCTCTATGGAGAAAAAGCCTTTAGTTTTCTTAAAAGGAGGTGGAGATATTTTCTACATGGAACTTGAGAAGGAACATTTAAGGGCTGAGCAGGACACAAAGGAGAAAACACACAAGGTTGGATTTTTTCAGTTCTTTAATGGTGTCAAGCAGGAACCTCCTACTCTTGCATCTTCTCAATTGTCTCCTCCTTGTACTTGCCCTTCTCCTTGCCAACCTGCCGAGACTTGGCTTTGCGCTCCAGGATCTTCTTGCGATCCTTGTCCAGCTTTAGCCTGGTGATCACCACCTGGAGAGGACAAGGAATTCAGTGTCCCTTCAGGGCTGAGTCCAGCAACCCAAGAGACCTGTGGTAGACCTGTTATCCCTATTCCCATGGACTCTCACTTGCCATCAGCAGAACTAAGGTACTGAATTCTCTGTGTTCCATGATTTTCCCAGGCACACTCAGGGATCAGAGTACATGGACACTTGCTTTGATGCACAGCCAAGGCATTGCACAAACTGAAGAGCAGCAGAACTTCTATTTAACTACAGAATAAAATCCAATTTCCATTATTCTGCTCAAACATGATGGATACTACATCCACCTGGAACACAGCAGAGCTGATCCCACACCACATACAGCAGTCAGAGCACCACAGAGACTCAAAGACACTTTTAAGAACACACCTGCTGTGAACAGCTGGGAATGCTCAGTACTGCGGACACACACAGGGTGAAATGCACAGCCCCTTAGCTGCCACAGCCCCACTGGGACTGCAAACCCAGCAGCAAACTGAACCTCTGCTTTCCAGCCCAAGAGCAGCCTCTGTGCCCTTCAGGAATCACAGAATGATTTGGGTCGGAAGGGACCTTAAATATCATCTAGTTCCAACCCCCTACCATGGGCAGGGACACCTTCCACTAGCTCCGTCCAGCTTGGCCTGAAACACTTCCAGGGATGGAGCAGCCACAGCTTCTCTGGACAACCTGTGCCAGTGCCTCAGCATCCTCACAGGGAAGAATTCCTTCCTAATATCCAATCTAACCCTCTCTGTCAGTGTGAACCCATTCCTCTTTGTCCTGTCCCTCCAAGCCCCAGGAAATAGTATCTCTCCATATTTCCTGTAGCTCCTTCAGGTACTGGAAGGCTGCAATTAGTTACCCCAAAGCTTCTCTTTTCCAGGCTGAACCATCCCAATTCTCTCAGCCTTTCCTCATGGGAGAGTTGCTCCATCCCTCTAACCAACTTGCTGCCTCCTCTGGACTTGCTCCAACAGCTCCTGTCCATGCCCTTTGTCCTTCCTGCTTGTGCTCCCTCAAACCAGCAAAGTGATGTGCTGGTGTAACTGAAAGAAAATACAACAATCACCTCCTAGAAACCCACCCAGGCTGCAGCAGGATTCCAAATCCCTCTCAGTTCCTTGTGCATTGCTCCCCAGGAGAGGCAGGAACTCTGCAAGTCTGTAACAAAACATTCTGCTGCTCCTGCTGCATGAAGAACCAGAAGCTTTCTGAAAGCTTCATCAAGGTTTGGTTCCTAATTAATGACAACTTCCACAGAAATAAAGAACCAGCAGAAAACTCAATTCCTCTCACTGCTATTTACCACACACGTTTGTGCACCGTCTCCACCACAATGTCACCTCATCCATCAGATGTTGTTACTGCACACAAGTCATGATGTTGTTTTGGAATCATTCTCTGAGCACACCAACCACTTACATCAGAAAACCTGTTACAGCTGGATTTTTTTCCACCAACACTTCCCTGTCTGTGCCCACACAGCACGGCTGAAGCACAGTAAATTCATCTGCCTCAATCCAGGTTTTGGGGAGAGCTGTTTAGTTTGAAATGTTTCCTGTTATGAGCTAAACAAGCTTTGCTTGGTGTTAAATGTGAACACTTCAGGTTAAAACAAGATTCAGAAGAACTTTGTTCACATTAGCTCACAAGAGCAAATTGTCCCTCTGAGCATCTATTTAAGCCTTTCTAACATCTCCTCATACACACAGCAAACATGGACTGCTCTAAACTAAGTTTTATGCTTTAAGAAGTTATTCATAGAACCCCAGGATGGTTTGGGTTGGAGGATCTTGAAGATCATCTCATCCCACCCCCTGCCATGGACAGGGACACCTTCCAATAGCCCAGGTTGCTCCAACCATCCAACCTGGCCTGGAACACTGCCAGGGATGGAGCAGCCACAGCTTCTCTGGGCAACCTGTGCCAGTGCCTCAGCACCCACACAGGGAAGAATTTCTTCCTAATATCCAATCCAAACCTCCTCTCTGTCAGTTGAATCCATTCTCTCTTGTCCTGTCCCTCCAGGCCCCTGGAAATAGTCTCTCTCCATCTTTCCTGTAGCTCCTTCAGGTACTGGGAGGTCACAATTAGGTCACCCCAAAGCTTCTCTTCTTCAGGCTGAACAACCTCAACTCTCTCACCCTTTCCTCATGGCACAGCTGCTTCATCCCTCTAATCATCCTGGTGCCTCCTCTGGATTCACTCCAACAGCTCCATGTCCTTCCTGTGCTGGTGCCCCAGAGCTGGAGGCAGCACCGCAGGTGAGTCTCACCTGAGCAGGGCAGAGGGGCAACAATCCCCTCACCTGCTGTGGGATGAGCCCAGGATATGTTTGCTTTCTGTGCTGGGTCATGTCCAACCTCCCACCCACATCACCCCAAGTCACTCCCGGTGCTGCTCTCCAGCTGTGTCTCCCAGCCTGGACTGATCCTGGGAGTTGCTCCAGCCCAGGTGCAGCACCAGCACTCATGAGTTCTGCTCAGAGCAGCATGTCCATTGCCCACAGCTGCCAGCTGTGCTCCATACCTTGCTGGGGTGGATGCCCACGTGGACAGTGGTGCCGTTGGCCTTCTCACGCTGCACTCGCTCGATGTAGATGACGTATTTCTTCCTGTACACCTGCACCACCTTCCCAATCTGCTGCCCCTTGTAGTGTCCTCGGACAACCTGCACAGCAAACAGTGTCCCTTCAGCCACCACATCCTCTTAGGAACCACTATTAATTCCCCCAATATAACTCCAGAGCCGCACAGGGAGAAATCCCAACTTCACCCTACAAATGACACAAACACATCAATGACTTGGCAATTTCAGCATCACTGAATGGAAAACAGATGGATCACAACTGTGTTTCTCCCTCATTTTCCATGCAGTCAACTCTGAGGGAGCTGTGTAGCTTTGCAGCCACAATGGTAATGGTCAACTTCAACAGTTCCCATCTCACTTTTTCACCTATCATTACATTTTCATTCCCAAAACTTCCAGATTTACACAACATTCCCAAATCTTCCAAGTATCACAGGTAGCAAATGGGCTATAAAAAAAAGGAATCAACTGTTTTGTTCTTTACTGCTGAAAGCTTTGAATCCAGCATGATAATCATGGAATACCCACGGTTCCATGGATAATCATGGAAGCACAGCACAGCTGAACTGCCACTACACTGGTGTTCTTTGTGTTTCCCTGGATGTGATCTCATTTGACCAATGACATGTCACTTCATGGATCTTAAGGAACACTCAAGAGGCTAAGTCATGACTGGATTAACTTGGATTATTCCTGCAATACTCAGGGCAAAGCCCCAGCACCAATATGGATTTGTCCTGCCCTTCCCTTTTGCACAGGTTACATATGGAAACTGAATCACTGAGGGTGGAGAAGACCTCTGAGATCAAATCCAACCTGTGACCCATCACCACTTGTCAACTAGAGCAGAGCACTGAGTGCCACCTCCAGTTTTTCCTTGAACACCTCAGGGATGGTAACTCCACCACCTCCCTGGGCAGCCCCAATGCCTGACAGCCTTTTCCATGCAGGAATTCCTCCTGAAAACTCCACAGAGACAGAAGTTCAGGTGTGCCAGAGGAACTCGAGGCAGTGCAGGTACCTGGACCTCGTCGTCCTTGCGGATGGGCATGGAGCGCACGTTGTACTTCTGGCGCAGCTCCTTGGAGAGGGGAGAGGACATGATCTTCCTGCGGATGTGGGAAGGGGCATTGAAGTGCCTCTTGCGGTTCTTGCTGCGGTCAGAGGTCACAAACGGATTGAACTTCATCTTGGCTGCACAGGGAGAAACCACAGTGAGAGATCACAGAATGCCCTGAGGGACCCACAGGGATCATCAGTCCAACTCCTGCCCAGGGCACCCCAACAATCCACCCTGTGCCTGAGAGCACTGGCTAAACACTTCTGGAGCTCTGACAGCCTTGGGGCTCTGCCCACTGCCCTGGGGAGCTGTTCCAGTGCCCAAACACCTCTGGGGGAAAGACCTTTATCTGATATCCAACCTAACCCTCCCCTGACACAGCTCCAGCTGTCCCCTGGGTCCTGTCACTGTCACAGAGAGCAGAGATGGTACTGACCCTGCACTGCCCCTCGTGAGGAGCTGCAGACCCTGAGCTCTGCGCTCAGTTTCCTCTTCTCCAGCTAAACAAGCCAAGTGCTCTCAGCTGCTCTTTGTATGGCCCCTCTAGACCCTTCACCATCTCCATGTCACTCCTTTGGACACTGTAACAGCTTTAGATCTCACATTGTGGTGCCCAAAATGCACACAGCACTCACAGTTCACACACACTATGTCCCACCACCCACCTCAGAGCCTGGCAGGGCAGAAAAACAGCCAGTTTAGATATCTTTAGTCCTCCCACTGGTTAATAAACCCTCGCAGACTGGGCCCCAAGTAAGGTCTGACTGACAGAGACCCTGTGATTGACATATGTGCCACACACATGGACGCTCCAACCCTGGCAGTGTTCAAAGCCAGGTTGGATGACGCCTTGAGCAACCTGCCCAGGGCAGGGAGTTGGGGCTGGATGATCTCTCAGCTTCATTCCAACACCTAAAATCCTATGACCAGATAATTCCTAATCTCAATCTCCTCATACTCAGCACCTGGATCATTCCCTGCAGTCAAAGCACTCTCATTTATCAACTCACTGTGTATGCTGGACTCACTCACACCGCTTAGGTATCTCCACGAAACCTAACCTGAGTGCACATGTGCAAACCCAAGACGCTTTGGCTCTTCTTAAACCTTAACTACTCCACACCTCTGCCCGTCAGGACACTATTTACCCTGACTAGCACGGCATGAATTAAACTAAACGATGCTTTCACTCAGCGCGACAATTCCCCCGTGCACACACCGCACCGCCCGTGCAGGCGCCTGGGTGTGCGAGTGACCCATTACCAACCCACGGACTGGAGGACAGAGCTCCCCCTGAGCCCGAGCTCGCTCCAGCGCCCCTGGACGCAGCTCCTGCCGCCAGGCCCCAGGGCACAGCTTCTCCAGG